TAGATGAAAACGAAAATAAATTAATTCCAAAAAAAATTTTAGATTTTGTAGAATTAACCAGTTTACTGACTTAATTGTTAGCATTCCAGTTACCAAACAAATTCAAGTGATAAGTTATTATAATACAGCACACCACGATTTCACTACTAAGAACCTGCCTGTTCCTCAAAGTCTCTTTCTCAAAAGTGTACTATACTACATGCAAGTGTGATAACGTCAGCCTTTCTTGGTAAAAGATTAAAAGAAAATAACCAATCCTGACGGATGAAATGTGAAACCAAACTCTTGATGGCTCCTTCAATGCTATTCATCAGCTCTGTACCCTCTCATCATGCCATCATATCACTACCCTTCTTAAAACACCACAAACATCAGAATGTTTACCAGCAATTCATTTCACCGCATTAGTGACATGGAAGGCGTTTAAAACATCTTTGTTTCAGTAGGAAGTACATCTTTCTGTTTCAGTAAGAAGTGCAGCCTCCAAACTATTAATGGTTTCTACTAAACAACTAACTGTTTTCCATTTAAGGCACATTTCATGTTGGAAAAACACAAAATTTTCTCACCTTCAACTGCGCAATAGCAAATCTGACTGACTCCCATATTTGTAATCTACTGTACGAAACACCACATTTCAAATGTCTGACTCAAATGCACTAGTCAAAGAAGTTTATAATTATAATGACAAATTTGAGAAAAAAATTTATTTAGCGAAGTAACTCCTTGTATGAAAATATTTCAAAACACTTATTTCTTGATTTTCATTGTCCAGAAATGTTCACTTAAACCAAAGGTCTGAATCCCTATTAAGCATTTTAAAATACAGAACAAAAAGTGATTTCCAGACACTCAGGAATTACAACCAAAAGTGCTTAACATTCACTGTACCCTTTTTGCTTCAAAAGTTTCCAAGGAGAGGTCTTCACTTGCTCTCTTCGCCCCCAGCCAGCTGCTCCACAAACAAATGAACATGTACCCCAACTTTTCTATTTGGCCCAGATTCAATCTGAGAAGATTCCAGAGCTTTATTGTTGCACTTACTCAAAGCAGAATTAGGCATGTACTTTTGTTCCTAAACCAAGCGTCTCCACACTGAGATTAACAATCAATTTAAAGCCTATTAATTTCCCACAACCACTCTGAAACAGACAAACTCACACTTATCTCCACGAACAGTCTAGGGAACTGAGGAGAGCTGCTCAGGCTTCTGTGAGCGGCCAGCACACGAAGTCATACTTTGTGTATTCTCAATTTGCTGAGCCATGCTGTCTTAAAAAAATATCTCCTGTCAACAGTATGTAGCACCACATACACAAATTCTACAAATGTAACTTACTAAAATGAATGGAGACTACTACAGTCAAAATACCTCTTGCAACCACATCACACTAAACCAAAAGACTAAGCAGCTTAATACTGCCTAGTCTTCTCACCAGCGGGGAAAATTATCCTCAACTTCTCTATCCTTCCAAACTGCAAGTAACTTTTTTCTTGCATAGGTTAGGTTTCATGGGAAGAAAACTGTATACGCCTGTTTTCTTGCAGCTGTGGACACACCCACAAGGTGAGGATCACTGCCAGCTGTTCACAGCGCAGGTTATCTCATTATCTCTACTCCACAGAAGCCTCCACATTAAGGCAAACTCTCATTAGAATCAACGACTAGTTCCTCACTCTGGCTTTCTGGAGACTACAGGCTGGCAGGCTGCTTAAATTTACACATTATAAGACATTTTACCAGCTCCTCCCACATTCCACAATATGGCACTACGGTCCAAGGGTCCCAAGTGCCAATTCTGGAACTAAACTGGCTGGAAGTAAATCTTGGTCTATTTCCACCATGTGACTGGGGTTTTCCAAGACGCCTCATCTACAGGAAGGGGTAACACATAGCTCCTCACTCCAAGCTCAGAAAACTGCTGACGAATAAAAGATTATACAGCAAAATGTGTTAAGCACAAGCAAGCATTTAATAAACACTAGCTAATGCTTGTACCATCCCTCTTACTACTCACGCCCAGTAAACAGCAACAGGCACGTGGGGCTGGATGACTTGCAATTTGTTCTACAAGTTGTGTTTTTTTCCTAAAATTATTTACTTGAAACATGTATCTGTGAACTAAATAATAATACCATGATTACAGATATAATAGAATATTCTCAAAACAGAAGCCTCTACTGAGATAATCTGTCACTCAGAACACACTATTCAAAGGTTCACTGTATTAAATTATTCTTTAAGAGATACAGCTGACAAAGAAAGTGCTGTTACCTCCCAATATTTCACAGATCTAGTCTCATTCTCCATACATTACATATTCAAGAACATGCAAGTTATTTTACTCTGATTTATTTCTAACATCACAATCAATACTTGCCACAGTTTTGCAGTCACTTGCAGATATACGCAGAGACCATGACAGTCAAATGTTCACATCCCCCACCGAGGCAGAACGGGGGACACTGTCTTCCCATCTCCGTTCTCATGCCAACATGCGCCCTCTTCCAACCTCTTCAGTTCCATGCTTTTCAGATTTTTGTGCTTTTAAATGGTGATTTAATTATTTAGAATGAAGCCCCAGAGCAGTGCCTAAATGCTAAGTGGTATTCTTAAAGTACAGGAGGCTAACATGTGCCTCAGGAAGAAAATACGAATTAGACAGCTTCCTTCAGATACAAACTACACTGCTGTTTGTAGTGAAGTCAAATGAGCAAATTAAACATACGTATTAAATATAGTATCTTCAAAAAGAAACAGGGCTGAGAATGTAGCTCAGTGGTATAAGCATTTGCCTAGTATATGTAAGGCCTTGGGTTCGATGCCCAACACCAAGCACACGAAAGCACATATAAGACAAGGTTCACGTATTGATCACTTGGCAAAAACGTCACTAGCTTCAAAAGAAGGCAGTGTGATACTGTATTTCCCTGAAGTAGTCATTTCATATTCACTAATTCAGTGTTTGCAGCAACCTCACATAAAAATACTCCAACTAACAAAGTTCAAGTATTTTTGGTTAAAGAAAACAGTTCTAGGGGGGAAAAAACTGATCCCTAGAACAGAAAACAGAGCTAGAGACAGTCTTAAATAAGGCAGTGAAATCAGTAAAGAAAAGTTATACTAGTCACGGCTGGTTCCAGGACAACGAATGTCAATCTGAGAAAAAGTGAAATTGAACCCTGAACTCACAATATAGAAAAAACTTGAGTGTTGAATGAGAAAGCAAGCCTTCTCCTTGCGAAGAATAGCTTTTCCTTTTAACAGATGTGATTTATGATCTTGATTTAGGGAACCAGCCATTAACAAAACTTTTTTTAAACCCATAAACGAAAAGTTGGCCATGAAAATGAAAAGCTTGTGACCAACAAAAGACATTAGAACATAAAAAGACAAGTCAGAAATGGGAAGAAAAAAAGATAATCATAGCGCTAATAACAAACATGAAAAACTCAAAACAATTTAAAAGGTAAACAATGCAATAGAAAAATAGACAAAAAATATGAACCAGTATTTAACAGAAGACAAATCTTGAAGGGCTAATATATATATAAAGATGTTCATGTTCAGCAGTATTTAAAGACACATTAAAATTTCAATGAAAATACCATTTTATCTGAAGAAGCACAACTTAAAACTCTCATAACATCAAGTGTTGAAGAATATATGGAAGAACAGCAACTTTTTTTAAGAACAGGTTATTTATTTTTGCTTTTTTGAGACAGACTGTCGCTATGTATCTCAGGCTGGCCTTAAACTCACTACGTAACCCAGGTTGGTAACCCAGGTTGGCCTGGAACTCATGGCAATCCTCCTGCCTCAGCATCTTGAGTGCTGGGGTTACAAGCATGTGCCATCACATCTGGCAAAGAGGAGAAACTTACACTGTTATTGCTGGTGGGAGGATTTACTGTGTAAACACAATTTATCACTGTTAATAGGGGTGAAATACAATACCCACTTACACAACTCTCAGAGAAAACTCACAGGAATTTGTACATATGCTCCCGGAGCCAGATACAGGAATATCCTCAACAACAACATTTGAAGTTGCAAAAATCCAGGAGAAAAACAGCCTTTACTTCTAAGAATACACAACTGGATATATCACAAACATATTCATAAATGAAATGCTACACAACAAAAAAAATCAGCAAATGCCAATTCATTAAGTTTGCTTCCTCAATGTGAGTAACTTACAAAATAATGATCAATGGGTAAAATAATCACGAGAATACATATAATACAATTGCAGTTATACAAACTTAAGAAACTAATCATATTAATATTATTCATATACCTACGTGGTAAAAACAAAAAGCCAGGAATACAAAATTCAAAAGTGGTATGCTTTGAGGATGGAAGTATATAATGAGGAACAGGCACATGAGGCGAAATCAAACTCAAAATCTTTTTTCCAAATTTGCTGCTCCTCTGTCTAGCCCCATCTCAGAAGTTATATTTTCCTCTTCCTCTCAGTAATTAATCAGCAAGATCTACCGACACCACATCCAAAGCATCTCAGTTCTGCCCCGTTCTTTCCCTCCCTATTACTTGCTCTAGTTCAAGCCATCGTCAACCTGTCACTCGCACTGCTGCATGGCAGCCTCCTCCTTGGTCTCTCTCGACTCTGGTAATTAATTCTGCACAAAGTGGCCAAGTGATCTTTTAAAACTTCAAGTCAATTTACATGCTTCAAACTTTTCAATGGCTTTCTTTCCTATTTAGGATCAAGTCCAACGTTGTATTTCATTTCATCTGCTGTCTGCTTACCTCTCTAACCTGACTTCCTTCCACTCTCTTCCTAGCCCAATAGCTTTCAAACTCCCTGGCTTCCTACTTCTTATTGCCGTATTAATTTCCGCCTCTCCTGGCTCTTGGCGGAGCTGCTTCATCTCAGCACGTGAATCACAAATTTAAACACAAATGTTTCCTTCTCAAGGAGGCTGCCTCTGACAACCCATCGAAAACGGTACCCCTGCCACTGTTAATCACTCACCACTTCATCTTTTCATTCTTTACAGCACTTATCAAGATCTGTTGGTTTATTAAGTTCCACCAGAATTTCGGTTCCACAGAGACAGGATCTGTCAAACAAGTTCAATATGACATCAAGCACTGCCTGGAATGTGGCAACAACTTATTTGCTGGATGGATGGAAAGGCAAATTTTATTTTGAATTGACATGAGCCAACATCTCTGGCAGTGAAATCAAAGTCAACTACACCATGAAGTATGGCAGAACAATTCTGAAAATTTTTAGAAAAGCATTATTCTAAGAATAATGTTAAGCAGCTATTTTTTAGCAGTATTTATGTGTCACATTCCTGAGGATGATTAGTGAATCACTAGTAAAAGTTTTGCAAAGCCACAAGATCCTGAGGTTTATGGGTCCTAGTTAATTCTGGATTCCAAGTGATGCGTAGTATGCACAAGTTACCTCTCTCTGCCTGCTTCATTTGTACAATGAAGCTATCAGTAACTGTTTCATAAAGTTACCGTGAAAGCTAAGTTTTTAAAATCAAACCATCTAAGCTTAGCACTTGGCATGTTGGAAATGGTCAATCAATTGTTGAAATCACTGCAAAAGCTGTGAGTAGGAAAGGTCAGACAGAGGAGCTAAAGAGTCAAACATACCTCACTCCAATAGAAAGGGACTCATAACCAACACCAGACATATGCCAGAACATATCCTACTTAAGACAAATGTACACAAAGACAAGACTAGACAAACCACTCTGAGAACATGGGAACAGTAACTATCTTCACTAAGGAGTTTGGTCACACATAAAGCTGAATCTTACAAGCAAGCAGAATTTACCAGACGCAAAGGGGAGAAAGCACAAGCATAAGCAACAATTAAGCAAAAGAAATGCAGACCACTGCTAGAAGTGGCTAGAAGACAATGGCTAGGTTATCTATGGCCATGCCACCCTGACCACAACCAGATCTTGCCTACTAAGGGCTGGTCTGGCCAGATGGGAGAGGACTACGGGCCCTGGTAGAAATCTGTACTTCTGTTCATTGGGCACCAGGGAAGTGGAGAAAAAATTTAATATACTAATTTGATATCAATCTTTCTAAAGAAGATAAAGCACCTTTATGACTTTATATTACTACATAGGTCCATGACCTATTAACCTAAAATGTAGTGTTGAGTCTCAATTCTTCAGACCACTTGAGTAATTTGTTATTGACAATGACTGACCCGGAACCTATTCTTCAAACCATGTTTCATTTCCAAATTGACCAATGGCAACTTAGCTATCATGATGACACCAGCAGATAAAATCTACTGAGAGCTTATTTGTATTATGTGCTATGTTACATGGATTATCCCACAGAATTCTCACGATGATCTTAGAAGAGGTATTATATTCCCATTTTACAGACCAGAAAACTGATATAAAGTGAGGTTCTAAGAACAAGGCTAGTAAGTGATAGAACCAAGATTTAAATCTAGGCTGACTTCAAAGCACAGAAATAAATCAACCTGCTGAACTATACTGCTCAGTTCATTAACACTGTTTGCTCAAAAACTGTGTGAGCCCCTACAATTCAAATCACACTAACACAGTGATTCTTAAATTTTATTATACAGAATAGCTTGAGTTTAAAAAACAACATGGGTAGCTTACTAAAATAAAATAGATCCTAAGAGTCCACTAGATTTTGGTCCAGCAAGTCTAGAGCAAAATTCAAGGATCTGCATTTTTAATCAGAAGTTCAATCAATTCTGCTTCACTTTGTCTGTGAGCTGTATGTTGGATGTCCTAGAGGTTCAAGGATACCAGAGCCTCCTGACCTCTAGATGCTTCAGAGTTAAAGGGGATAAAACAAGGTGTACAGAAAATACATGTAAGATTTCAGAGAAGGAAGGGTCATCTGATCCGAAATGAGGATGAACAGGATTTCAAAAAGAAACTGATCCCACTCACCCACCATCAACGAGCTAGGAAGCCTCTACCACTGAGCTAGTGCCCCAGCTCTAGGGAACGTTTTGTAACATGCTAGAGAAGATAGGATGATCAAAGACCTTAGTGGAAAGACCTTAAGTGCTTTGGGGAATGGAATTATCAGAAAAAGGTGAGAAAGCCTGGAGAGCCTGAATGTCCATTTAAATAAACAGAACAGGTTTTATTCAGTGCTGACAGTGGGAGGCAACCAGCTGTTTTTGAGAAAAATGAAGTAATCCTAGTCATACTCTGAAAGAGTACTCTTAAGAAGCGATTCAAGGGCTGAGGATTTAGCTCAGCGGCATAAGCACCTGCCTTGCAAGCAGGCAGTCGTGAGTTCGATCCCCGGTACCAATAAAAAGGAAAAAGACCAAAAAAAAAAAAACCCACAAACAAACAAAAAAAGAAGCGATTCAAGATTTCATAAAACCAGAATACAAACAACAGAAATAGTTGTACTCTCACTGTCCTGATCCAGGACTCAAGAACCAAGTAGTTTGAAAAGGGGAGTCAAACTTAATGACTCATAGGGCAGAGGAAACCACCACAGGGAAATAATTTCTCCACTCACGAAACCCACATTGATCACAACCAGTTTTATACTGCTTTTCAGTTTTTATATCGCTCACGAGGCCCAAAGTACATAAAAGAGCTCACTTACTTAGATCAAAGTCCAGGATTAAGAGGTAAACAGCTACACATAAACACTAAGGAAAAAAAGTGTGCCTGTGTGTGTGTACACATGAACCACTAACCAGAGCAACATAATTTCATTTTATACCAAATTCTAACAAATATGTAAGTATCTGATTTCCAAACCAACAGCAATATGGAAGCAAAAATTACAAAGGGAACAGAGTATAAATCCTGAGACTTACACGTTGGAAAAGATGAAATATAAAAAAGCACACGTAATCACTCAGAGTAAGTTCGCCATAATTGTTTATTGACAGGTACACGATTCACAGAAAAAGGAAATTAATGAGAGTCTTCCTTAATGTTCCAAATATTTACAATAAAATAAAATCATCTTTAAACAGTCCTTAAAGCTAAATACTTTAAAAACAAGTAACATTCACCTAAAAAAAGAATCTGTAAAAGATGGTTGACCCATGCCGATCTCAGGCCTCACCATTAAGACATAGTGAACAAATAGTTACAGGCAAGAAAGATATGTTTTGTAATAAGGTTTGAAGATGAAAGTACTTGCTTTCATAAGGCATCTAATCAAGAATGTGTCCCCACTGATGAAGTTTTAAACTGGGTGAGTCTTTCCTAATGCCTGTGCCTTTGAATTGCACATCTCAAGTAATATGAATTCATCCTCAGCAACAATGAGCACCATTCTGCTGGCCTCAAACACTCTATAAAAATTTACCTACTGAAATCAGACATCATTTGGCACTCAATATGCAGCAACAGGCTGTGTGACAACTTTTCAAAGCACTGTCGGTTTCATATTGCTTTAAGAGTAACACATTAAGAGCTCTCACTTTGTTCACCAATGCTCAATTTTTACTATGAATTGACACTAAGAATCTCATCTATTTTAAAAACAGATGAAAAACCTAAGTTTCTTACTGGGAATTAAGAATTCAACTGATTCAGTTATACCTGTTACGACTATATTTAAAATAATTCTAAATCCATGAACTCTATAGCTTTGTACACATAGCAAAAATGTATGCTTGCATCTTGGGAGGCTGAAGCAGTTGGGACTGTGAGTTCCAGGCCAGTCTGGGCAACTTGGGAATAAAATAAAAATTTAAAAATCCATGTATTTTACAACACTGGAGGAGTAAAATAAAATACCCTTAACTCTGACATTGAGATAAAGCAGCTAAATGAACTTAGGCCTCTCATATTTCTCAGACACAGCAAAGAACAGAAAAGACAGGATGCGGAAAACTGTCAATCAGATGATGGTGCAACAGTAATATATCAATGATTAAGATTACGGTACATCAGGAAACAGGAGTCAAATATACTACATGTTACAGACATTAACCAACTGGGGCAGGCAAATATATTTGCTGCCTTGTCCCTGCTCCAAACTCCCCTCTTCTTGGACTCATCTTTGTTCGCTAGAAGTTTACAATATAGGGACACTGACTAGTCAAATGTCTCAGAAATAGCGGTTTTCAAACTTCAAGGTGTGACCCCATAAATCAATTTGGCAGATATCGGTCAGCATTTTTCTAAAGAAAGAGAATGAAATATAATAGAAATCATCACAACACATCACACTTAATGAGGGTAAATAGTTTGTGGGTATGTATCAGACCATTCATTCTTATGTGAATATGTACTGGATCACAATGCCAGATGTACTTCTTATTGTGAGGTAGGGCTTTTTTTAAAGAGAGGGAGTTAATCCGAAAGATACTACCCTAGAATCTAGGTCTAATAGCTCAGACCCAAAAGCTGTATGTCTTTCTCAGTCTTCAGCACCTAATGTATACTCTGCTCAAGATGGACCAGAGGACACCAATGCTAGAGTTCGATGGCAGCATGAAAAGAACTGGGCCAAGCTCCAGCTCAGCCAGTATCTGGCTGACCCTGAAAGCACTGCTAGGTTCCCCAACACACCCCAAGCAGGCAAAGCTTACAAGCTCTGTGTAACTTAGCAACCTCCAAAGTAAAGCTCCTTTGACACTAATTGTAAATGGCCAACTCTTCCAACCAACTTTCCTCAACTACAACTTCTGGGAATCACCTGCCCCAAAGAAATCTCCCAAGAGGACCTAGAATCTGTACTCCCCACTCTCAACAGAGAAGCCCCACCCAGATTCTCCCAAGATCCGGTACCATCCTGCCAGACCCTACCGTACCCCCAATCCCTCACCCCGCCCCACTCTCAGCGTCTCTCAACTAGGGGCAAAAAAACCTCGTATCAAATCACCTCATCAGAGCCTAGAAGGGGCAGGACCAGTATCCCAGCAGTCCAGGAATGGGCACTCTTTCCCCATCTCTAGGGACTTTTTGTAAATTCAGTGGTTCAGAGACAAGTTTCCTATTTCCCCAACAGTCCCACACATTAGCCGGTCTCTACCAGTCGGAGGGCCTCTCCCCACCCTCATGCCCCGGGGCACAGTTAGAAGCAGGGGTCCTCCCAGGACGGCCCTCCAAAGGGACCTGCCTGCTCTCCCTCCCAAGGCCTCCCAGCTCCGCCCGACCCGGCCAGGCCCAGCTTCGCCCCGTCCCCAGGGCAGACCTGCCGTCCGGCCCGGAGTCCTCCCTAGGGTCCTCCCCCTGGCCCCCATCCAGAGCCCTCCCCACCCGCCTCCTGCCGGGGGCGCCGCGGGCCCGGGACCGGAGAGCCGGCGGGCGGGCTCCACTCACCCCTCAGCCCCGGAGGCGGGGGGCTGCTGCGGCGGCTCCTCCGGCTGCGCCTCTCCTCCCCCCTCCCGGCCACCGCCGTCGCCGCCGCCGCCGCTCAGCCTCCGGCCTGCTCCCACCCGGCCCCGGCCGGCTCCGCTTCACCTCTGCCCCCAGTCCGGCCGCCGGAGCCCAGTGTCCTGCATTGACCCGGAAGCAGCTTTCCCAGCCCAACAACAACACGTGACCCTGCCGCACGTGTCACGTTCGCTGCGTGAAGGGGCGGGGTCTCCGCTAGAGCGGATCCCCTCCACCAAACTGGGGTTGCCATGGCGACGGAGAAGGTGTGAAATCCAGGGTTTCATCAGAAACCCTGCTTATAGCCTGTACTTCCTCTTGCACCCCCGGTGCAGAAGAGTACGGATTGTCGTTTCTGAATGAAAAGGAAGCAGGTTACAACCCCTAAACTTGGAATCTTAATCTGGCTGTCATTCATTTGCTGTGTGACCCTGATCTAGTCACTTCTTGTCTCTGGCTTCAGTGTCTTTAGCCATAAACTAAGCAAAGTATACTAGGTGCGACCTGGGTATCATCTATAAGATCACATGCTGCTTATAGATAGGAATGTGGTGGCCTTTCTTCCAACGCTGTGGCATCTGAAACTCCACCAGTAGCCGCAGCTCCATTTCTTGAGCACCTTCTGAATACAGCCATTGCACACAGGAGATTTTTAATTTCATTATCCCTCCAAAAGTCAGTATCTTTTTTTAGCCAGGAATGGTGGAGCATGTGAAACCCAACACTTGGGAGGCTGAGGCAGGAAGATTACTGAGAGTTCAAGCCAGTCTGGACTACATACTGATTTCAATAAGGCCAGCCAAGTCAGTATTTTCTAGAATTGAAACTGAAGTTCAAAAGTGTGAGCCTCTATATTCGAGACCCTGCAGAGGAACCTTGCTCCTTAGAGCATCATGGTTGTGGAGAGATGGAATGTTGCAGAAAAAAAAAAAGAAAGCAATCTTGGGCTATCCATAGTCCTTTTCAATAATCACTTATTATAAACCTCCTATCTAACTAAACAAGCACTTTGATGACTGTCAGATAACCTCTTGGAATGTTTACCCACCCTAAAGTAATAACATCTCAACCTGGCAACAGATTTCCCTACCTTGTTAAAGATAACATCTACAACCTATAAAAAAAGGTAGGTAGACCTACCTTTGATGTCCCCACCTACTACTTTCTTTTGGGACTTTTCTTCCGTGGAAAACCATGGCCCTTAAGGGAACCTCTTGACCAGTGTTCCCAGGTATGATCACTCATGTTTGGCTCATAATAAGCTATTCTTTCCTGAAAGAAGAGATGTTGTTTTTATGCCTCAGAAGTTAAGTAATCTTCCCACAACCATCCAGTTAGTAAAGTGACGAGGCTGAGGTTTGAATCTAGGTGAGGCTGGCACCAAAGAACATGCACTTCGTATTATGCTGTGTTATTGCTCCATATATGTTATATCTGACTGTTGGGTTCTTGTTGCTTATGTTCTTTAAACATTTCTTCTGTAGAGTCTTTCATGGCTGGTCTTGAGAATTCAGCCTTTGTATGAATGTGTCTCTGAAGTGCTAAACACTGAAGAGGTCTTTGTCCAGAGTGTATGTGCTTTAGTATGCTGTGTGTCAGGGGTGTAATACATGTACATGTGTGTGTTTCCGTGCCTAGAAAAGGAAAAATAAACTTCTGTAAGGGATGGCCAATGACAGTATACCATCATCAGATCCTAAGGACCTGTTTTGGTCACTTTATTTTTGTTTTACCCACAGGTGAGGATTAGAGCAGTATAGCTTATATTTTTCAGGTGAGGGTTTTCTCCTTCTTTCCTAGAAAATAAAGTGCTTTTCTGACACCTTAAAAGTTTATGGCCTTGGACACTGAAGTCAGTGAAGTGACACCAGGCAAAAGTAGCATCAGTGATGACAACCTTAAGATGAGCAAAGTGAAATGCACAGAGAGGAGAAAGACCTGGGTTGTCGCGTGATAATCTGTTGATGGACTTGTTTGTGAACTCAGATGGGGATTTGAGTGTTCGCATCAGCGTTGTCAAGTAGGGCTCACCTGCAAATAGCTGAGGCCTTGTGAGCAACAGGAGAAGTAAAGCTATAAACCGTGACTGTTAATAAACACTGTATGATCTATATATAAATATATTCATGGGTACTCAGTGTGACTGGTGATATAGTTGTGTCTTTGAAGTGTGAGTCATTTTTCTGTCTTTTGTTCTTTCCTGTAAGAGAGCAAACTTCTGAAGACAAGATAAATATCTTTACCCATCTCCTGTCAGTCTCTTCAAGAAAAACAAGAACTGTCCTTGTGAAACTCATATCTGATTGTGTTACTCCCTGGAGTTTACCCTTCTGAGATTCTTTATGGCTCTCGGGATAACAGTTAACATGCTTCTCCAAGTTCCTTATGATCGAGGGCCTGTGAACTTCCTCAGCTTCTTGTCTTGCCTCTCTCCTCCTGTTCTTCGCCTTTTCTGTTGATCTGTTAGCCACTAGTCACATGCAGTTATTCAAATTTAAATGAATTAGCCAGGCAGACATGGTGGCACACACCTGTTATCCCAGCACTTGGGAGGCTGAGACAGGAGGATCATAGTTTAAGACCAGCCTGGGCTGTATAGTGAATTCAAGACCAGCCTGAACTGCCTCAGGGAGCAAGACCTGCCTCAAAATAAATAAATAAATGAGAATGGAAATAAAGTCAAGTTAATTGTTGTATTCTCAGTCATAGAACATTAGTCTTAAATGTCAGTCACCATATGTGATTAATGGCTATCATATTGGTCACTGGATATTCTCATTGTCACAGAAAGTTCTAATGGACAGTGCTCATCTATAATCTTAGATCTTCACGTATGATACCTTCTATGGGGATTCCTCCTGTTGAGCCATTTGAAACGTACCTCTTCCACATCCTTGATATGCAAAATTATACCTGATTTCTTCCTTCCTCCTTGTCTTTCTGACAAATGTATAAGCTTCAATGAAGACAAAAGCTAGGCCTCTGATGTTCAACATTAACTTCTCGTTATTGCTAAAGGCCTGTTGTTAAAGGAAGTAACAGAGTCACATATGTATGGTCATTTTATCAGAAATCATTGATAATTGATCAATTGACCAACAAGCAGTCATTCTACATAATTGAACCTAACATTAAGGAGGAACTTTGAAAGAATCAGAGCTGTTTAGTCAGGTACAGTGAATTCCCTATCATTGGGATAGGTTAACCAAATGCACATTAGAGCAGTGTATAATTTCTCAATCAGCTGGATTAGTTGACCAACTAATTCTAAAATTCTAAGTTCATCTAACTTTTAATTGAGGGTTCACTGTGCCCTAATGTCAATCATAGCCACCCTCTGAGATTTTACTGTGCCAGCTGCTGCTTGAGATATTTTCCATTGATTATTTCCTTTAATTCCCACAATGATCTCATAAAGTACATTTGGCATTATCAGATTTCCTGAGTGAGAGTTGAATTAAGTGATATAGCCAGCAACATATAGCTGGTAAGTGACAAGGGTCAAAGCCATATTTAGATCAGTCTGGCATGAGAATCTGAGCTCATAATAACTCTGCAATGATGGGATAGTGTTCCATTATGAAGTTTGAGCTAGATATTTACATGTCCTTTTAACTGAACAAATGTTTACTTTACAATTGTATGCCTTGTATATAGCCAGGTAGCTTGGAGGGAAATGGTATTTTTCATGTGAAAAGTAATGAGTGGTTTGGAAATTTATAATCTTCAGTACCTGTTCTAGATTTTCCATTAACCAGTGTTGTCTCTTGAGCTCTTTTGGCCTTAGATCATTAGATAGTAAGCGACCTGAATTCAATAAACTGCCACAATGGGCCACCCCAAATGATTTGTAATATATTTGTGTGTATTGTTTGTACTATACATACTGGTATTTTCAAAAGATTCCATCAGATTCACAAAGTAATCACAGCTCATAAATGTAGGACATATGATCCCTTTAAATTTTGCAGTTCTCAAATTCTATATTTTACTTTAGTCAACATTATTGATGTGTATTTTCAGGAAGTATCTTTTCATGCCAAGCTTAGTGACCAAGCAAAGACCAAAATTCTAAACTGTCAAGTCATATCTGAAACTATGTAGAAAGTATCAGTGTTTCCTCACTTGGAAGAATATGGCCTTGTAAAAACAGTTCTTATTTTGCTTTTTTATTATCTCCATAGACGGATTGGCTATAAGAAGCTTTGTTTCCAAGGTCTTACATTTATTGTATCATTTACAGTAAATTGCTAGGAGCTTCAACGAGCCTTCTTAATTTTTGTTATGGAGAATATACATACAGAAAAGCACATGTAATATAGATAAATGTACATAATTCAGTGAATTATCATGAACATCCATGTAACCTGCTCATATCATAGAATGTTTTCAGTATCCGAAAGCCTCCCCCAGTCTGTACAAACACTGTTGTCTCTGAAGTTAACTGTTCTGACTTCTAATTTTGTAGTTTATTTTCCTTTACTTTTAAGCTTCATAGAAATGGAATCAAATGAAATGATTTCACTCAACATTTTAGAGTCATCCGTGTTGCATGTAGCTATAATTTACTTTGTTGCTAAATATTTCATTTTATAATCATATAATCTAAATAAATAAATGGATATTTATTTATCCATTCCGTCAATAATTTATACTGGAGTTGTTTTCAGTTTTTGGCTATCACACATAGCACTGCTATGAATATTCTTGTGCTTGAAATACAGTGCACATAAATATCCGCTTCTGTTGAAAATATGTCCCAATGAATTATCACTTTAGATCATCATTGTTCAATAAAAATATAGTGCAAGTAAATCCAGTGTAATTTAAACTTATCTAATGGTCACATTACAGAAGTTTAAAAATGGCAATTTTTATTAAACATACATCTTATTAACCTAGTATATCCAAAATATTACCATTTTAATATGTCATCAATATGAAAATGTTATATAGATACTTTGCATTCTTTTTGTGTATTAAATTTTCAAAATTCATTATGTACTTTATATTGATAGCAATTTGGGCTAGCCACATTTCAAGTATACAAACTATCTACCAAATGGGGCAGTGCATCTACAAATAATAAACAAAACAATCTTTTACTTTAGCAAAAGGCTTCATATACTGAAACCAGCATATGAGT